AAGAGTCAGTGAGTCAGCGAGTCTGGACTGTGGTTTCGTTCTTAAGTGAAGCCTGAAAGCTTTGAAGTAGTGGGACAGATGCGGCGTGCCCAAAACCTTTCGCGCCCGAAGGCCCGAAGTTCCCTGCAGAGTCGCAGCCCAAGACCACAAGACCATCACCTCGGAAGGTAGGTGGGCGTGTACAGGCTCTACATGGTCTCGACGTCACATCATCTCCAAATAGCTACATCGCATGAGCCTCCGTTCCATGAGCCTTTCTCACTGCAGCCAGAGCTTTGAAACGTCCGGCATGCACTAGGATAGCAAGGTCTCGAATGGGGAGAAGGCCAGTGCAACTTTCAAACGGGCCTCCCAGATCCTAAGCCCTGCGGCCCAAAGATGTGCAAGACAAAGAAGCCCAAGCCTCTGAAACATCTAGGACACAGCTGGCCCCGTTCTTTGGCGTGCACTGCACTTGGCACACCTGGCCGGCAAAGTGGGCGCCTGGCCCGGTGAGGGCTGACGGCTGTGCAGGTTTCTGCATATTTGAGAATTTCAGCTGGGGCTTTAGGATTCTGGGGGGCAGTCACTCATCCAACCAAAGCCCCAACCTCGAGGCGATATCCTCATCACTGAGCAGTTGGCCAAAAGCCAGGTCGGGCCCGAAAGCACTCGAGCGTTCCTTTTGGGCAGTCGGAGTGTCGACAGGGCAGGGTTTTTGAACATGGGGATCCGTGCTTAGGACCTAAACACAACCGTCATGAGATGACTGCTCCTGCCCTCATTCGGGCCTAGGATGTGCGGTTTGCGGCTCTGTGTTTGCGCCAGGATGAAGAGCTGGTGAAAGCCAAGGCCATCGAAGTGCCTGGCATGGAGGACGGCTTGAAGGTTTCTCGGACTAGGAAGTACGAAGTTGGGGGAAGCCTGTTCGCTTGCATGCATGGTCATTCCCATTGTAGACATGCCGTGTGTCAGTGGCCTGGGCGTTGCGTTCGCGACCTTCAAGCTGATTCTTTCAGGGGCATGTGGGCCTCAGGGATGGCTTCTAATAACAGAAGCCTTGCACTTCAAGGTGGAAGGCCTGACGACAGGCAAGAGGCCTTCAGTTTGAAGCACTGCAAAACCCGCCGCCGCCAAGTGACTGACATACGTGGCTGCAGGAGCCCTTGGTCTATGCCACCAGCTTCAAGGTCAAGGGGCCCCGTGCGGAGGCGGGCTGATATGTACAAACACCTACTGTGAGTGACTTGGTGGAAGCTGAATGGAGCATAGTGGATCAGAACGGGGGCATAACCGGGAGCATAACGGGGAGCACAGGTCGAATTCGCCCAGTCTTTCCGACCTTGACAACTTGAGGCCTCCACAGGATCCTGAGCTGATGGCGCAGCACGAAAATCTTCGGGGGGAGGTGAAACGGTTCGTATGCCCGATGCATGGTGGCATAAAGCAGAGGGCCTTGTGACCGCATCGTCCGCGGTATCCTGAAGGGAGCCGCAAGGAAAAGAATACTACGGCCAAAGTGCCTGCCGTGTGTATGCCGCATCTCGCTTTGTCCTGCTTTGCCGCAGAAAAGTGGAGTCCGATATGAAGAGCTTTGTGTGCTCAAGCGGCGGACAGATGTTGATAGATAAGGGGTCGCCCATGTCGTTCCTGCAGCTGTTTATAGCTCGAATTCAACCCTCCCTGGCCATGCCGCATCCCGACCTGCCGTCAACATCAACGAGGAGTTCGGAGTCAGGCGACAGCACGACAAACACCGTGGACCTAGGATAGGTTGACTGATCGTTGCCATATCAGCAACGGGAACAGCAGCAGAATCACCAGAGCAGCTCAAAGAATTGACGTTGATACGTGATCCAGATGGCCCAACAAACGACCGCAGTCTGCGAGATGGTTTTTTTTGGGGGGGATACGAGACTCCAAAAAAGAAGAGTGCTCTGAGGAGGGCGACGACATGCTAGGAACACTGAAAGGGCTTCTTCCGTCTTCTGATGGTATCGACAGTTGCGAAAATGGCGACGGGAATACGATGTCAGTTTCCAAGATGGCGGCGACGGCACGCACCGTGCACCGTCGAACCACGAGCAGGCAGAACAGGTGACAGCTTCGAGGAGTACATGCCGGGAGCGATGGGCCCCTAAACCCTAAACCCTAAACCCTATAACCCTAAACCCTCCGCTGGCCTTGCTTCCCGCCCTGAAACAACTGATACTTTGGCGCCATGAACATCAGCGGTGCATTCCGAACCCTTTGTAAGCTATCGGGAAAAATGTCCCTGCCTTAAGAACTGCAACAAGGCTTCACATAAAGGCAGTAGATTCCCTGCCTGACCTGGACAAGGGGCCCTGCACTCTCAGATGTATAGACAGATGGATGCTCATTGATTGGCAGTCCTTCTGTTACGGTTTCCCCATTTGTCTTACAGGCCGTCCGCTGGAAGCCTCCGAAGCATTGGGAAGATGCCCCTCAGATTGTGATGCCTACATAGTTGGCACATGCATGTGAAGACATCATGTCAATTGCACTTGCCACGCTGCAACTTGGGTTTTCAAGTGGGTTTCACCACTCACACGGACTGACCGAACCACTGACTGCAACCGCCTGATGCCTTTTGTATCCCTCTTGTTGCTGCCCATGGGTCGCAGGGCTAACTGTTGCATGGGCCGTCTCGACCATTCTGTTCAGAAGCACGAACCAGCTCTTGACGCCTACTGAGGCGACGAACACCTGACTGCGCTTGCCGCTGAGCTTCGGAAGCTGCACAGCATGCTTGGCGCGAAGAAGGAGAACGAGGACGACCAAAACCACAGTAAGCAAGCTCTTTTTAAGGCTGTTGCAGAGGAGCGCGAGCACAAATCCAACAGAAGGAGGGCCGAAATGTAGGAGGGTGGGGCGGCCCTGGGGCGCACGTATAGCTGGTAGCGCAAGGCTTCAAGGAAGCTTAGCAGTGGTGCTACAGACGTGAAGAATCGTGAATTTCCGTTTCTATGAAGACCGGGTTTGACCTATTGATGCCACAGCATCTTTTAGGCTCCGTCAACTAGGGAGGTTCGCCTGCCTGTCCGCATGTAAGTCACATGTAATATGAACATGTGAGTGGCGAAGTGCGTGCTGCGGTCCACTAAAGAGCATGGCACCCGAAGAAGAGGACCTGCTGCCCTCGGACAAGGTGGAAGCTCTTTGTTCTGGGAGCAGTGCTGACGGGAGCGGTGGCTCAGAGGACGAGCTCCAGGAGGTACAGCCCCACCCGGTTCTGCACAAGAAGGCCCGCCTAGAGCACCTTCGGTCATATGTTGTGGGGCCGACAGCAACTCCTTACATCTCCTGGCCCAAGCATAGCACAGGGCTGAGCGCATGCGCAATAATTCCAGTGACAATGACTAGATCTATGTGCAGAAATGCCACCAGCATTCTGCCATCTAGAGGGAAAGCGGCGTCTTGCAGTCTGCATGAGGCACTGAAGACATCGCATGAGGCAGGGTGCTTGACAGATTCGTTGGCATGCGTTTTGAAGGGGGATTCATGGTGCATGCTGAGGATGTAAAGGCCACCTTGAAACTTCCGAATCCCATGGAGTCAGCTTCAGGCGTCGGGTTGAAGTGGTGGGCAGTGGTATCTTCCGGTCACCAAGACTAGTTCCTACATTGATCTGACTACAGTGGGAAGGTAGTCGTAGGAAAATCCTGACTAGCTGGAAGATTGGAGCCCCTAGTGCTTGATTGTTGGATTTTGGGGTTGGGGTGTGAATGTTGGTATGTGACTTTGGCGTTAGTTCTGGTGTCACCCAGGGCCTACATAGGTTCTGAGGAAGGATATCTGGCTCGGTGTGCCTCTCCTGGTTTGTCACACCCGGAGCCTAAACCCGACACCCCAGTGCCCCCCCACAAACCAACCTCGTAGTCTACCATCCCGAGATGTTCCCCTGGAGCGCGGCGTGTCTGCTTGGCGGGTGGCAACAAAAGCCCTAAACCCAAAGAGGTGCATCCTAAACCCAAAACCCAAAACCTAAACAGGTGCGGCGCGCCCCGGTGCTACTCCGCCCGCTGCCCTCCACACTGCCGGAGCCGGAGAAGCGGAGCAGCGCCCGCTCGAGCCAGGCTGGAGGATGTTTCTAGGTGTTTTTTGGGGTTGGGTTAAGGGGTTTTTCCCCCTGAACAGTATTTCATAGGGATTGTAATAGGGGGGGCACTATAATCCCTACTAAGGACTGGTAGTATAAGGGGAAGCCCGAGTTTAGGATTTGAGGTTATAGGGATGCTTTGATGGACATAGCACGTGGAAAACTGGCAATATTCGTTTCTGCTATTGTTTCCTTGGCCTTTTTCCGTTTCCGTGCTCGATGGTTTCAGTTGATGGACGAGCCTCGCTTAACTGGATTGACGAGTGTGAAGCCTTTGCTTGGAGGGCCTGTGGACTTCTGCGACTCGCGTTCGTATGCAGAGTGAGCTTGGGTGTTCATGATCCAAATATCCGCGGATGTGTATGAGGCACATGCAGATATCTGGGGTCGGTTGGCTGAGGAGTGTATGAAAGTCTTTCACCAAATTGTGCTACTTGGCATTTTGGAACCTGCAGAAGAACCTATTTACACCCGCATTTTTACAGCAAAGGGAACAGTACCGGGACATGTGACATGCCTGTAGATAAGCGCAGTCATGAGCTAGACTCGTGTTTCCAAGGGTCCCGGAAGACCTCGCAGCAATCTTGGATCTTGGAAACATGAGCCGGTACAACTTGTACCGATTTGTACTGGTTCGTACCGGCCATGCATCAGAAAACGTATGGATATTATGACAACATAAGGATAGTATGAACCAAACCTTTGAAGATGGACCCACGTGACAAACAGCACAGAAACGAAGGACAACCTGTCAGGCCAAATCATCGACGGTTCAAAATCATACGTAAACAGTGCATATGGTCAGTGTGCTTTTGGATGAGGCTTTCGAAGATTCATACCAGGGCCATGAGGCTGCACATAAGATTCGCTGAATTCGGCGTGAGAAGTGGGCTTGCCATTCATGAACAACGCTCGGGGGCTGGGGGCTGGTGGAGACTTGCTTTTGTGGCAGTTTCTCGGGGCTGGGGGGTCCCGGGGCCTGAGTATGCAATTCTTTCTTGCGCTGCAAAACTGAAAGCGTTTTGCGTGCCAGTGATTCCCACCATTGCCGCTGGAGGGGCACAACAGTTTGGTCATCAACAAGCTTCTGGAGTTCGGCCCGCCCATCGTGATCATCTTGTGCCAGCGGCTGCAGTTTTGGATCGCTGCCCTCAGGGCCTTGTCAGGTCATGTGCGGGAAGGCTCACCACGATGGTGCCACGTAATCTTGATGCGTATGAAAGCCGCAGGTCAACCGGAAGCGGAGGGATGGGCTGAGAGCCGTAAGGCTGCTCGTGTCCAGTTCCGGGTGTGCTTGGGGCATCATGCACTAAGGAATGCAATCACCATTGCCTTAGACAGCGACGTTATCGAGAATGAAACGCCTATTCGCATCATGGAGTCCTGCTTTGCTGTCTTCTACCTTCTGGACACTGGGTCTAAGAAATGCAGATGTCGCCTTGCTCCAGTCATCCAAGATGCTAGCGTGTGATGACATGTTCCGTCATGTTCCGTCATTCCTCGAGGAGTTCATGATCAAGCTGCGCCTCCTTGGCTGCCGCGGCTACTTCTGGGCAGAGAACTGGTCCTGGAATTGGTTTGATTTCTCGTGTCTCCTGTGCCTTGGCGGCATCCTTCACGACTCCGTACACTCGTGTTCTTCAGGTTCCGGAATATGTTTGTAAGTTTTTTGAGGCCACATGGCCTTTAGCCTTTAGCTGCTCTAGCTGCCAGGTGCGCGCTCTTGGAGCTCGCGGCGGTGCTCGTTTCCGTACTTGGCTTCACTTCCACGCCTCTACTGGAGGATGTGACCGTCGTGCGCGTGTTTCGCTTGGGACAGATACCGGGCTGCAATGGCCAATTGGGTAAGAATCTGCTAGCCCATCCTCTCCTACTAATTTACTAGTTGATTTGGCTTCCAGGGCAGCCGATCTTCTTAACCATTTGAATTTGGGTCAGGTGGAGGCCCTTGCGCGCCTAGAGTCCACGCTTGCAAGTGCAGCTGATCATGCCATTGTACTCGTGAGGCTGATGAGGACCATCCGAGTGCTAAACTTCAAGATGTTCAGCGAGCTTCGTCAGATAACGCTGGGCATTATGAATGGGTGTGGTGTGCTCTTCTGGGCAGTGGTTCTTCTGCCGCTTGCCTTGAAGTAGGATGCCACGACCATTGGCTTGAAAACTAGAAAGTGTGTCAATTAAGTCGATGGGCACTTGGGAAACGGATCAAGACAGTAACCCGAAACCCTAGAGCCCGATCATGCAAGCAGAGCCTTTTCACTTGAAAACAAGCCTTGAATACAGCTGCCTTCAGATCTTGCGATGACGTGTTCCAAAAAAAGTCTTGGGACTCAAAGCCGAATTCCAACCCCAACCCTAAAGGCTGTTCAGCCTTTACGGCTCTGAGGCTTCAGCGTTCAAGGTGTCAGATTCTTAGAGCCTTTGGACTTCTGTGTGCAGCAACCCTCAGCCTACTTACTCCTAATCGTTTTAGGTATCAAGGGCTTTCGAGCTATGTCAGAAAGAGAGCGAGGGAGAGAGAGAGAGAGAGAGAGAGAGAGACAGACTAGAGAGAGAGAGAGCGATACAGGTTAGGTGCGCAGAAAGAAAGAGCGATGCAGAACCTTCAGCGAGAAAAGTGAAAGCGGAGAGGCAAAGTAGCGTCAAGTTGCGTCCGCCGCATCAACCAAATCCTGGACGTCGATAGCAACATTGAGCATTTAGATCTATCATGGCCGACGGTCTGTGCACCAAAAGCTGTATGAGAAGACACATAGACACATCAACTCTTTTTTGTACCAATCTGCACTTGACCAGCTACAGGAGAAACGATAGAAGCTGAAGCGCCCATCTCTGACATCAGCAACGCCAGTGTCCCAGGTTCGCCGTCATCTACGTTTTCGGCGTGGTGATGCGCAATCTTGCAGGTGATGACATGGAAGAGTTCAAGAACATACCAAACTCCATGCTTCCAGCTTGAAGGAAAGCCTGCATATGAGAGCAATCCGAGCGTGCATCGTCTACCGCCATCCCAGATGTCAATATTAGTGTCATCAAATACATTCATACGGTTTGTAACAATATAGTTACTTTCTTCATTTCTTATTGACAAAGAAATTCTTATCTTAAATGAACGATACGAAGTTAAGTCTGTGCAGCTCCCCAACAAATATGCCATCTCACCACCCAGTGCTGCCGCCCGGAAAAGCCAAAAGCCTTTAAGCGAACATGCAAACAAGGTTTACATTGTTCCGATGCTTCACCGACGGTTGCTCCGACTATGCGGGATCACCCCTAGCAGAGCGCCTGCGACTTGTGTACGGAGCTCCCTTCACGCTGGGGTATGCGACTCGCTGGGAAGCCTTGTGAAGGAATATTTGAGCAACGCTTAGGGATTAATTAGGGTTTAGGGTATCATTTACAGCCTCATTGGGAGTATACAGGGCACGTGGAACCGTTTTTCGCCGACAGCTTGAGGTGTTTGTGACCATGCTGGTCGCCGTGGGCATCTTCAATATGATCATGGCCATTTTCCTTGAGAGCCTAGCATGAACCATGCAAAGCCCCAAGTCCAGAAGCCTTGCGAAGCCTTATGTTTGGAGCCTAATCTGAAACCTGAACATGCACAAAGCACTCCACCGCAGTCTATCACGGCTTGCCTCTACAAGGTATGACAGGTTTCCAGGTAGCTGAAGAGCCACGCGGCATCACAGCACCGGCGGCCAGAGAGGCTATAAAGGATGTGATTGAGCGCCCGTAAGCGGGCTGAAGCACAAGCATGCCTGTTCATAGACCACGGGAAACATCGCCATGCAAAAAGCCCGTTCAACACAAGGCACTTAGCACCTGAAAACTGTGATGAGCACATCACCATACATGTGCTCAGAGAAGCATTCGCTGAATGCAACATCGTCGTGGAAGTTGTGCTCAAGACTCGGGAACACAGTGGCAATGAAGGTGGTGGCAATGCCATTCGGATTGGGATGCACCCAGCAATCCGATCAGCACACCCTTTCAATGCTCCGTCGGGCCCTTCCTTACAGACCTGTGATGGCTTCAGCAATCCCTACGTAATCCTTAAAGATTGCGTTTTTTACAGGGCCACGCAAACCTACCCTAGAAACAAGGTGCAGAATCAACGTGCAGAACTCAATCCCCAAACCCAAGTCTTGAACCTCCCCACGCCTTCTCTAAGCAAAAGACCCCGACCTACAGAAACGAGCCCTCTGCCAGCTTAAACCCTAAACCCTACCACCCTACGCTAAACCCAAACCCATATGTCAACCCCCCAGGAATGCCACAGCATCCGCAGGGAGACGAAAGCAGCGATCTCCGGCGTCGATTTTAGCGGCTGTTTGGCCCGGGTCGAGTTTCTAGAGGGCCGGGAATGTTGGGGGTTTAGGGTTTAGGATTGCCATCCCACTTAGGGTTTTAGGGTTTGGGGTTTAGGGGTTAGGGGTTTGGGGTTAGGGCTAAAACATCCAAATATGGAGCTTCAATCTCTGAATAGAAGAAACTTCGAAAGCAAGCATCACTGTGACGAGCGGTCCTGCAAGTTTACCGCGAGGTTGAGTTTTCGGCCTCGGTTTTTTGCCTTGCAGCCCCGATTAGAAGGTCCTCTGTTCTTGTTCAACGTTTCAAGGTCTTGTCCGGAGATTTTTGGAGAGCACCCTGAACGTGAGACCTGAATCTAGCGAAGATGTCAGGCTCCTCGCAGCTAGGCGTCAAGTACAGCCTAGCCATAAAAGTCGGTGGCTTAGGTTACCTCATCGGGTCATGTCTTGCACCTTGTTAACCTCTGGGTGTCTGGGGTTGCTCTCAGCACACACGCGGGCCGGATTTTAAGCCCTGCAGCAAACCTCTAGTTGTCGGGGTCTATACAAGTTTTTCTGATTCGGCCACAGTGACCCCACGTTCAGTTTTTGCAAAGCTGCTTGATGCGTGAAGAGCATGCAAGCCGCACCGCCGTCATCATCAACATCATCATCACCCACCACTTCCACCGTCACCACCGCCGTCATCATCATCCACGCCTCCACCCCCTTCCTCACACCCCTCAAGCACAAGCACAGGCCAAGGCAGCACCAGCACTGCGATTCTGGGAGCACAGCTGGATTTGCACTATAAAAGAAGCAGCAACCCTTTAAGGCTGGAAGTTGATTATTCAAAAAAGGCAGCCCTTGCACGTACTGAAGGAGAACTGGGCGAGCGTGCAAACAGCACTGAGCTGGCGCTCCAGCGCATCATCGTACCTCGCTCATATGAAGGGGATATGAAGCGCGCTCACTCTTCGTCCCTTTGATATGGTTGCATTTGCTTTGGGGGCTCCGTTTCTAGCGGCTGCTTTCATGGGAGTGACTGGAGTTCACATTATGTTGTGGGATTCGGCGGGTGCAGGGCTGCGGCTCGGGCTTGGAAAAATTGGTCGAGCCAAGTGGTTTCTGCTGTTGCGCTATGGTTTGGTTGCGGCGGTTGCTGTACAGATCTTGGACTTGACGCTTCTCAACGACTTGCCAATTCCATCCTTCTGCCGAGTTTAATGCGCCGAGGTCCAGATGATCGATCCGACTGCTCCAGAACGGGCAACAGGTGACAAGCTCAGAAGCTGGCATGAGACATTCTTCCTTATTAAGGGCAATATAGGGATCATCATTTTTTTCTTCTTTTGGGGTTCTTTTGCAAATCGTAGTGTTGGGTTCTTTGAACGTCGAGAAGGTTGTGCCTAACACGGCTTGAATTGGACCACAAATGGCCATGGTTTGTCGACTGTACCGACCCCAGAAGAAACAGAAAGCTGACCACAGGGCGCCACCGGAGCATGGCAGCCAGGCTGGTCTGCTCGTTTTTAGGTATTTGTTTCGATGTTCTTTTCCTGGAAGAGAAGCTTAATTCGTGCCTGGCGCAAATTCTAAAAAGATATGGCCACCTTCTGGTCGTCCTGATCTATCTGAGAAAAAAGACGGCATATAGTGCAATCAACAGTGGAGCTGCTTGCTAGGGTCTGCAGGGTTGAGGGCCGATGGGGAAGATGCAAATGAGAACTGATTGAACACCCGACCCAGTCCCCCAAGCATGGGTCACAGAACCGCTGAGTTGAGAGGTTGAGAAGCGTAACGCGTAGAGGTTGCAAGATCTTTCTTGCGCGAGATGCGAAGCCTCATCTTTTTAGCTGAAACATTTCCACTGAGCAGGATCAGCGGACTGTTTGACCTGCGACCTTCCCCAGATGAAGCAGACAGGCCTGTCTGCAATTGAGGGTGCGCATCTTCAGTCGCTTGCGCCACCCCTTATGCCCGACGGAGGGCATCAAGCAACGAAGGTTGCATCTAGACGATCATATCCATGAGCCTGAAGTCGTTTCGACTCTTCGTATTCTTGAGCAGGCGCCTGAACAGGCAGCAGTCCACCCAGCTCTTCTGGCACACGCAGCATCCGGTCGGCATGTCACAGGGTTCACCTCTAAAGCCAGTACTGGTATCCTGCACCCAAGAGCTTTGCACATGCTTTGCCCTCTGGAGTCTCTGGAGTCTGTTTACAATGTGTTGAATCGTTGGAGGCCTGCATGGGGCATGGCTGGAGGTGTATCTTTGTGGCTGCTTGTATGCGTGAACACGTTCAAGAACCGACTGATCAAACATGAGCCGCTGACGTGGGTCTTGTGGACTCGGCTAGCAAGGTATGAGCTTCTGAAACACGCCGGCGTCACGGTGGATCGGAAAACCTTCATGTGCCGAGCCTGCAACATCAGAGCTCCGGTAGCCCAGTGCCGCGCTTGGTTCGTGAGAGACTACAGCCAAACCTGAAGCTTGCTGCCCTGCTGCTGCCAAGCCCTGAAACCCAACACGGGCTAACATCGGGCTTAGGGCTCATGACTGTTTGCAGGGCCTCAATGATTCAAGCGGCTCAGAACTGTTGGGTTTGGTGGTTGCCTGATGACTTTCCAAGCACATGGGGTTATGCCTGAGCGGCGTGGCAGGCTTTGGCTACAGGAGCCCGCTTTCCTCCATGTTCTGGAGAGTGCAGACGTGGATGTGTCGAATAAGTTCGACCTGTTCGATGTTTTGGACGCCGAAGCCCGGCTTGCTAGTGGCCTCAAAACCCTGAACGGATTTTCCTGCACCGTTCTCTGCCTTGTCAGAGTCTGAGGACATGGGCGGCAGGCTGGAGCTGGACGAGGTTGTCACCGGCCTCATGAAATTGCGCGGCCCAGTCTCCAAGACAGCGGCCTGGGAAAAGTCTAAGGTTTCGTGGATGCTTGTTAAGAAGGTCCGAAACCTGAGAAGAGATTACAAAAAGCATGCTTGTTACCAGCACCACGGATGTTCTTCACGACGTCCGAGGATTTGGTGGCGATAAGGTTGCAAGTTCGACTCCTGATCCAAAAAGCCCTTGAGGATGAGTGAGGGCTTCTCCGAAAAAATGGAGATAGATGTGCAGATGTGTGCAGGCGCGTTGGGTACGGAGATGGCCATCTTGAGAGCGACACCTAGCATCGCAGAGTTTGCGGCGATAGCTTCTCTGCTTCACAATGGGTCCACGTGTAGAAAGTCGCACGCCATGTTGCAGCAAGAGGCCAGCTCCGGATGCTTTCTGTCCATGTCCTGGAAGGGTTTTGCATGCTTACGAAAAACCAGCTCGCCGAAGAAGCCTGGGGAAAGTTCCACATTCAAAAATGCCACATCTACTGGCTATGTCTTGACCTTTCGTGGGGCCAAGGCCCTGACAAAGCAAGCTGGGCACCTCGCGGCTCTTAGGGTTTTCAGGGTTCGGCGACAAGTTTCCCAAGAGAACGTGCCCTTGGCAGGACTTTTGGGGACAGGCGTTTGCCGTCGTATTGTTGTATTGTCTACAGGCTTTGGCCATGTGTACTTGTGGAGGAAGCGCGTCGTAGGTGCCGCCGTGTGTTTCCTCACGTAAATCGTTGGCATCCTCGTAACTGCCACTGCGTGAGACCTCCGGCAGGCATCGGTTCTCTGTCAACTGGGCAAGATGCGGGGCAACACTCGAAACCTGAATTTCTGGGGCCCTCACCAGTCATTTGACCAAATGTTGGGATTTTCACCCTTTTTCTCGCAGTCCTTCATAGGGATTGTAGTACCCCTGACTATAATCTCTATCAAGGACTGCTAGAATAAGGGGGAACATCCCAAATACATGTCTCGGCAGCTCAAAGCCCTACAAGATGTTGGCTGGGCAACCCTGCAGCAAACCCTGGCATGTCAAAAGTGTTATGGGCTCCCGACTGGCGCTTGGCAACCCTAAGTTTCCAACGAACACAAAGTGCG